GCTTATTCCACTGAGCCATCTCCCTGCCCCCCCCCAGCATTTTTTTTGCCTTTTATGTGTTTATATATAATCATAAATGTATAAATGAATATTTATATCCAAAGTGAATATCCAGAAATATATACTCAAAAGTTATTTGATCATGAAGTATATAATCAAAACAGTGCAGAGGTATTAATAGAGTGTGATAATACTTTCTTAGGAGTAAATGGGGGTTTCAGGACCCCATGAGCAAAGAACCCCAGTAGCTGAGTGATCAAAGACAGGAGAGGAGGCCATGGCTGAGGCAATATCCTGCAAGTGTTCATCAGCAGTGGGGGAAAAGAGGCAAAGTGAAGAAGGCAGAAGCGTGAATTAATTAATTAATTAATAAGTTAATTTTTGAGAAGAGTGACAAGACTATTCAGGAGGGGAAGGACAGTGTTGTCACAAATAGTGCTAAGACAGTTGGATATCCACAGGCAGAGGAAGGAAAAGACCTGCCACAAGAAACAAAATAACTCAAAATAGATCCTAGACCTAAGTGTAAAGCTAAAACTATAAAATTTTTAGACATTTATGTAAAAGTGGTTATTTGTAATCTTGGGATAACTTTCTTAACAACATCGGAAACACAGCCATAAAAAGCAAGAAAAAAAAAGATAAATTAGACTTCATAATTAAAACTTTTGCTGCAAGTGATACGAAGAAAGCAAAAAGACAATCCATAGCATGGGTGAATGTATTTGTAAATCATATATCTAATAAGACGCTTGTATCCAGAATATATGAAGAACTCACACCTCAATCGTCAAAAGACAACTGAAGCTGAGTGTGGTGATGCATGCTATAATCTCAGCATTTGGGAGGCTGAGGCAGGAGGATGAAAGCTTGAATTCTGCTGGGGCAACTTAGCAATTCTGTCTCAGAAATGGGTAGGAATATACCTCACCTCAATGTAAAGGCCCTAGCTTCAATCCCTAGTATCACACACCACACCACCTCTACCGCTACCACCACTATCACCACAATGGCAAAAACCCAATTAAAAACTCAGCAAAGAATCTGAACAGACATCTGTCCAAAGGAGATATGCAAATGGCCAATATATACATGAAAAGACGTTCAACACCTTTAACCTTTAGAAAAATGCAAATGGAAAATACAGTGAGTACAGAGCCGGGAGCTAGTTCAGGGGTCTAAGAACCTGCCTAGGCAAGCACCAAGACCCATGATTGATTCCTTGTACCACGTGCCTTGCCGGCCCTGCCCCAGGCACAATGAGCCAACCACCAAGATTAGGCATCATGGCACACATCTGTAATCCCAGCGCTGGAGAGGCAGAGATAGGAGGATCACTACAAGTCCGAGCTGCATAGCGAGACCCTGTACCAAATACATAAAATTTAAAAAAAAAGATTTAAAAAATACAGTGAGTGCCGCTGTTCACACATTAGAGAATGGCTATTGTCATGGTTTGTGCATAGGTGTTGCCCCAAAGCCTCAAGCAGTCTTGGGGAGGCTTCTGGAGTTTGTGATTGATTATTGTGGGTGTGGATGCTGCACCTGCCCTTGGGCAGGTAATTTGCGTTTCAATGTAAGGTGGAAAGAGAAGCTAGCTGCCTGAGCTGCTGCTACTCCTCCCTTTTTGCGGTCTTGCTCTTTGTCTCCACCATGAAAGGTTGCTTTCTGCTGTGTGCTGCTCTGCCTTGGAGCCAGCTGAGTGTGGACTGAAGCCTCCAGTAACTGTGAGCTAAATAAACCTTTCCTCCCTTCATTTTGGGTGTCAGGTATTTGTCCCAGCAAGGAGAGAACAGTAACTAAGACAGCTATAATCAGAAAGACAGTAACAAGTGTTGACAAGGATGCAGAGAAACTAGACCTGCTACACAGTGCTTGCTGGTATGTAAAATGATGAACAACTTTGAGAAAACTTTGTAGCTCATCAGAATACTAAAAACAGTTATTTTATGACCTGGGAAATCTACATCTGAGTATATACCCAAAGAATTGAAAACATTTATTAAGAAAAAAATACTTTCACAGAGTCTGCGTAGCAGCATTATTAAAAATGTTCAAAAAGGAGCCGGGGAGATGGCTCAGTGGAATAAGCGCTTCCCTGGCAAGTGTAAGGGCCTGAGTTCAATCCCCAGTTCCGCCAAAATAAATAAATAAATAAATAAATAAATAAAAATGTTCAAAAAGAGAAAAACAAACTAAATGTCCATCAGCTGATAGAAGGATTAAAAGGTCATCCATCCATCTATACAATGAAGTAATAAGAAGGAAAGAACCTTGTGTACTGGCGCACGCTTATGATTCTGGCGCTCTGGGAAGCTGAGGCAGGGAGATTAAAAGTTCAAGCCAAACCTAGACAGCTTAGCTAGACCTTGTCCCAAAAATTTAAAAAAAGCAAAAAAACAAAAGAGCTGGTGATGGAGCTCAGTGCAAAAGCCTGGTTCAAGCTCCAGTATTACAGGGTTGAAGGTGGGGAGAAGGAATAATAGGCAAATCTATAGAGATTAAAAAGTAAATTTTCACCTGTGGCTGAAAGAGGTAGAAGGAATAGGCAGTGAGTGCTGATGGGTCCAGGGTGTGTTTCGGGGATTATAAAGTGTTCTGAAATTAGGTTATGGTGATGACTGCATAGCTCTGGATATACGAAAAAAACCTCATTAAGCTATATACTGCAATTGGCTGAACTGTGTGGTATGTGATTTATCTCTTAACAAAGCTGAATTTAAAAAATACAGTACCATGTTGGAAAATTTAGAAAATACCAAAAATAAAAAGCAGGATGAAAGGAAATCACTCAAAGTCCCACCAAGTGCTAATATTCATTGTCACATTCAAGTGTATGTTTTCTCAGTATTTTATCAGAGAATTGTTTTACATGATAGAACTAATATTATCTTTATTTATTTATTTATTTTTTTTTGGTGGTGCCAGGGATCGAACTCAGGACCTTGTGTTTGCCAGGCAAACACTTATTCCACTGAGGTATCTCCCCGGCCCCTAATATTATCTTTAAATTTCATATTCTTTTAAAGAATTTCTCACATTAAAAATACAAATTTGTTAATAGTTACACCACAGTTTTGTACATATGCCACAATTTACTTAATTCTGATATATCTATTTGACTATCCCTGTATATAGATTATTTTCAGTGCCTCTACAGATGTTCCTCAATTTACAGTGGTTGACTCTATTATGGTACAAGAATGTACCTGTGCAAGTATTCTTTTTCTTACTTCCACTGCAGTAGTGAATAAGTTACATTACATAGACCACATTTTAGAATAAAATAGGCTTTGTGCTAGATGGTTTTGCCCAACTATAGGCTAATGTAAGTGCTCTGAGCACATTTAAAGTAGCCAAGGCTAAATTCTGATGCTCGGCAGATTATGTACATTACATGCATTTTTGACTTAAATTGTTTTTATTTATTGTGATAAACAGGATTTACTAGATATGATCCCACACAGTAAGTTGAGGAACAACT